AAATTTTATGCCATGATTCCCCTTGCCTTATGCTTTTATTTGCTAACTGGCTGCATCTGTGCTTCCAGCAGGGCTCAGTAAATTTGGCTTTTTGAATCCAGAGTAGCCAAATTATCTAGCAGCACCAATTTCCATGCAGGTGCACCTACTTTTCTACTTATCCTTTCTTAGCTGTTGTTCTGCTTTTTTTTTGTGCTTTGTGCTAGGAGAAAGAACATGTGCACAGATTGTGTGAATTGCACTATCTCCAGCATTTCTTGTGCCCTTCACAAAGAAAACCATCCTCAGAAGGGGATAAGCCCAAGTGAGGGGTCACCCTGTTGCAGGGACAGCTGCCCTGCTTTATTTTCACTAGCTGGGATGAAGCAGACAGACAAGAAATTGTCATACTGAGGAAGATTATCCCCCACAGCAAATGAAAATCCTGGCTCTAGGGCACAGTGAAGTGAGGTGAAAGTGTTTTACAGGAGAAAGTTTTGAAAACAGATACTTATTTAGTGTTTAATATTCAAAATTGCTTGTGAAGCTTGGTAATTTTTATCTAATTTGCTCTTGTTGTAATTTTCCAGTTTTTCTTCTTCAAGGGAAACAGCCTATTACAATTTTTAAGGTTGTACTGATACAAGCCATTTCTGTTTTCCTGTGACTATCTTCACCTACGTTCTCCAGTTGCTTTTCCTACATAAAAATGAAGAAGAAAGTTTGAAATGTACTTATCTGAGGGGCCGAGATTGGTAGGCCCTGCCTCTCTATTGTAATCTTTAGTGTGTCAGAACAATTATTCTCATGGTTCTAGAGATTTGTCTAAAGTGCTAGTTAATTAACTTGCTAACACATACTAACACAGCACTCCAGTTTGTAGGGTAACAATTTCAACAAAATTAATTTACATCTTAAAATTTTCATCCTACAGCTCTAACACATTTAAAATTATGATTAAATGTCTAATACTTTTTTTTTTAAATGCACAAGAGCATTATTCCATTTTGTTAGTTTAGCTATTTGCCCTCCACAGCCCACCACTGTCTTACAGTAGAACTATGAGCACTGAAAGGGGAAATTCAGCTGTGTTGCTGGTTCAAGAAAAGCCTGACTGTGGCGGCACAGAGAGCGCCTCTCAAGCCTCTGTTCCTGAGGCTGCCAGTGGGTTACATGAGCTACCTGTAAAAGCTGGTGGCTGCATGGGATTGGAAACTGTATTAATTAAAAGAGCTAACACCAAACAACAGCATGTTGTTTGGATCCAATAACCTTCATCACCTGAATAGAAAGCAGAGGGGAGGGCAGCCCGAGGCTCTGGCCTGCCCAGCACGAGGTTGGTGGGCACCACAGCCCCTCATCCCCTAACTGCACGCCTCCTGTGGGCATTTTAAAAGGTGTCTTGCTTCCTCAGATGCTCTCTTCTAGGTTGGGAAGCACTGGCATCCGTCTCCTCACCTTTCAGGGCTGATGGCCTAAGGAAGCTGGTTATTTTCCAAAGCAGGGAATGGCAGGAGTGTAGGGGCCACAGTGGGAGGGCAGGGGGAGGGAAGCAGCTGCAGGAAGCAGGGAGTGAATGGGCTATGGCACACACAGCCAGTTGCTAATTCCCAGGCCAGCTCATGAGTCAGCTGAGGCCAAAGGTGCCAAGCAAAATCTAATTTCTGGCTGAAGGGTATTAATAACCATGGATACAAATACCCAATGTTTAGTGTAGGGAGTTCAGCTAAGGGTTGTCCTGAACAAAAGTCAATGCTTGGAGGACCCTCTCCTCGCCAAAGCCTATGAGAACTGCAGTTGCCCAGCAGCACTGCCACCCCTACACAGATGAAAGGCCTCCTCAATGCAGTAGTTACAGAGGGGTTGGTTGTTTCTACTTTTATGCAGTATTCCTGCCTGCTTTTGAACCACAGCCCGCCTGTGTGAAATGTAGCTTTTCTCTAACCAGCCTTCACACCTTCCTAATCAATGTGCCTCTGTCCTGTTTTTCAGCACCAGGGCCCTTTCTCCAGAGGAGAAGCAGACACAAGAGACCTCACACCTCTGACTGGCCATTCCCACAGGCAGGAGCACTGCGCATCATCCCACCCCAGCTGTACTCTCTCTTTGGCTTCTGGTGCTTAGGCATTTGTGGGACCCACAAACTGCAGCACCTCTGACTGCAGCCTGCCCCTGCTCCCAAGGCAGACACACAGGACCATAAAAGTCCCAGAACAGAGGCTAAAAGCGTGAGAGCTGTTGGCAATGTGACATGGCCAAGGAATTCACAGGAACACCAGACATCTTCACGCCACGCCAACACTGCTACAGCAGATGTATTTTTGTGAAGGCAGAGACTCGATGCACAGGGTGTTGTGCAGAGGAGCTGGCAACATCATGGCCCTGGGGCAGCCGCCACTACAAGCAGGGCAGCCTGGTGCAGAGGGTAAGCAGGGGTAGAGCAGAACCTGCTCACACGTGAGTCAGCTCCACAAGATGAGTGAAATGATTCTGTAACTTCAGAAGAGGAATTTCTGTGTGTGTCTTTTTACAGTGCTCTCCCACCTTGCTTTCACAGGTGCAAATTTCAGTCCCGGCTGTCCTGGAGTTCAGCACTCCTATTGACATTTCATACATCAAGTAGCTCACAAAATGTACTGGGCAGTTGCCTATCACATACCTAGAAATTAAAATTTACTGCAATGTTCAATCCTTTGACCTCTGAGCATAACAACAGATCCATTTAATACTTTTGTTCACTTATGCACTGTTAAAAAAAAACCACAGAAGATGAATCTTAAGTAGCAGAACATAATAAACACTTTGAATATTTACCATCTTCCATGCAGAACTTTTTAAAGTGCAAAGTGCTATGATCCTGCATTAAGAAATAATTGCTCCTTTTACTGCTGAAAAAGAACATTAAAAGAAAATAAGTGTTTTCTTAATAATCTAAACTTGAATATTTTGAAAATTTTGAATATTGAATAATTTGATTACTATTCAAAGGCATGAGCCTGATGTTTCACACCTGACCTCTACAGAAGTCTATTGCAAGACCAGCATGTGGATATTAATGAAAAGTCATTTTACACAACTCTTCAAATAACAGTATTTAATCATTTTCACATCAAAATCACTTTGCAGCTCACCAGCATTTTCTGTTTTTCTTTAAATATAAATCCAAACATTTTTAAAAGCAGCACTTTATACCCACAGGTCTAATGCATAATTGATCCTCTTTAAAAAGGGAAAATCCATGTGTTATGTGAAATACTTTCTATTATTATAATGAACTGCAGCAAGAAAAGCTTGTATTTCTACAAACTCTCTTCTCCCAGAATAATCAACTTTCAAAACAAAGCATTTTCACAAAATCTTATTTAAACCTTCTTTTACAAAGCATGATATGTTGGACTTCTAACTTGGATTTATAAAATGACAAGTTATCATCCCAACAGGAGGAAAGAAAACCCAGATATACTCTAAGGAAACTCCATCCCAAATTCAGACTTTCATTTGCAAAAGATGGAACATTTCTGAGATGTCTCTTCTTATGTTTCTCAGGTACAACTCAGGAATCAATACTTCATTTACCACACATGCAAGAGTTTCTCTCTTTCCATGGATGCAATTAGGAAGCCAGAGCTGTGAATTTCTGGATACATGCTGCAAATGTATGACTACAAACCCAAAGAGAATTCTTACTTCTTATCCCTCATTTCCTTATGTTCTCCTAACTCTGCTACTAACTTCACAAAAAACATGGAAGAATAAATCTTTATTGCTGGAAAGCTATGACTGGACTATCATCCTTTTTATAAAAAATACTTTAATGCAGTTATTTAGAAATGTTAAATACGAGCATTTCAGTGATAAAATATTTTACTAGTGCTTCTGTTTGAGTACATTGTGCAATGTATTGGGATTTTAAGAAAAATGCTCAAGTTTCACTATCCGATCTTTCAATCTCAGACACCACCGTTACAACAGAAGTGGACGCTACGGTAGAGGAAATCATCCCAACAGTGAGGTTCTGTATTGCCAGTTGAAACCCATAAGGCAAGATTTGGGTATGGTGGAGTGTGTATTTTACATATCTATGCATATCAAAAAGATATGGGAACTCTGCCAACCACGTGTGAACGTGACCAGCCAAGTGAACACTACGTCTCATACCACTCCTGGCAGGCAGCTGTGACACAGGACATGCTGGCTGAAGCCAGCTCTAGCTTTTGAAGAGATGACAAATAGATCCTTTGTGTGGGGTTTTTTTATCATTCTGCAGCATCACCAATTTCACTCATCCACTCACTCCATGCTATGCAAAAATATCCATTATTTAAATGCTTCGTATAAACTCAACAGAGATTGCCGACAAGGTATGAGATACTCCACGGCTATAAAGAACACACAAAACCACAAACAGAAAATTGAGAGACCTTATTTTGAAATGATGAAAGCAAACAGAGAAACTGGAAGAAATGAAGTAAGCATCAGGTTCAATAAAATGATGAAAAGGAAGTCCTTCTGCAAAAGCAGGGCTATAACATGTATCAGCCTATAAGGGTACAACATAATGTAGCAAACAGTACCACATAAAACCAGCAAATGAAACAATGTCACACGATATAGAACCTTGTGCATGAAATAATACAACCTTTTATTCAGGTTTTATAGATTACTTTTATTTATTTTTGCTTTAATAATGCATATTCTGTTCACTCTGTGCAAAATTGGGGACAGAGGCGGGCGTTTAAATCGTCTAATGAAAATCAAGCGGAGATGAACATTCAAGTTGAGGGAGAGGCCTATCAAAATCAGGAAAGCTAAAAAGCCACAGCTGCTCAAGACAAAGCCACTCTCAGCTGCGCCCTTTTGTCCTGCCACTTCGCACAAACCTGGCTCTACTGACTGAGCAGCTGTACACTGAGAAGGTGACCTCCGCCGGACACCGGGGACAGGAGTCGTCGTGGTAGCTACATTAGGGAGACCTGGCTTGCAACCAGCTCCAGTCAGTGTGTGGCAAAGAAAGGCACAAATCATTGCAAAGACCGGATTTCTGTTGGTTTGTTTCTTTCTTGTAAATACATTACTGTACACAACGCAAGTTTAAATTGTAGGGGATTGGGGGACATAAAATTGCATATTTAACAGAACTTAAAACCGTAACAAAAAGTAGGCTGTTCTTTCTTGAAGCAAAAATAATCCCTCCAGCCCCAATGTTAACATTCATTCCTGGCTATATGCAGTATAAACATTTTAAAATCTGTGACAAAAGACAATTAAAAACCAAAAGTCAAAATCATAAAGCTTGTAAACAGATAATCTGAAATACATTTTATTTATGGAAAAATATCATCAAAATAGTACCACTATGGACTAAACTGCCTGAGTTTTCATTTCACCTAGGATCTTGAAGTAGAGAGCCTTTAGCACAAGAAGATCAATTTCAGTCACAACTAGTGCTGCACAGCACTGCTTTGGGTGGAAATTTTGTCCTCGCTGTTGGAATTTTTGTTGTGCTATCAAAAACTGTTGTGCTAATCCTTCAAATAAAGGGATGTTGAGGCAATTCTTAAATCATTTGGCACAAAGTTATTTTGGCTGGGGCATAAATTTCAGTCTCATTACTGAAGAATAATGCAACATTCCACCTATCAAGTATTCACTTTGATTGAAGAGCTTTCTTTATGTCATTAACTTCCATCTGAAAAGAAAAACAAAATTGTGATATTAGATGCTTTAACAAACTGAGGCACAGTTAGTGCTGCTTGAAAAGCACATGTTCTACCTTGTCTTCAGGTGCTGAGTACAGGTTTTATACTACTCTTATTTCCACAGATGTCACAAATTGAGGTGATCTTCTCAGCCATCTAAGATGACCACTCATAGCTTCTTCCCTTCAGAGCTTGACAAGCATAGTCATTGAACGTACAAGACCTTTCAAACTCTTTAAATTACAACTTCGACAACCCACACAGCTCGCTGCCAGGAATCACTCGCAGAATGGGCACTGTGTCCATGCCCCAGCTGCTGCACTTGCACCTGGCACAAGTAAACTGAACTGCTGACTATGAGCACCAGTAGCTGAGGTGCAAAACCTATCATCTCTCTGCTGGAGGGATGGTGGTTGCCTTCTACACTCATCAAGCCTGCATCCAGACACCTTAAGGGCTCTGATGGATGCACAGCCACGCAGTAAAAGGAGGAGGCTGAAGCTGTCATCAGCCCTAGTTGTACTCTTGGCCCCTCTGATAGATGCCAGAAACCCTGAGGCGGAGTATTGGATTTATTCAAACACACCCTTAGGGCTCAACCACATCGTACCATCAAGGCAGGTTTCTCTAATACATGGACTGAGAGCTGCACTAATTTATGACTACCAGAGCCCTCTTAAGCTAATGCAACTTTTGTTTGTTGAACTCTCATCTTCACGTAAAGCTAATTATGCCACCTTGGCTAGCATCTGAATGTTTACTAGTATAAGCAACATTTGAACTGAAGTAAAAGCATTCAACGATAAGATCATAATTTTAAAACTGTCAATGCAGATCTCTGTGTAAAGATGTAAAGCCATCCTTGGAGGTAAAATCCAGACCTCTGAACAGCCTGGCCAGTTAGACTAAATCAATAACTGCTATTAAAAATGTTCATTGATTTTATCTAAATAAATTTCATTTTTAGCTGAATATGAAGTGTGTGTTACTAGAAGTCATACTCCTCTCTGGCTGACTGCATAAAGTCCTTTAGGAATCCCTGGAGCACAGACATTGATGGTCCCCAGTTCTGCCACCCTTTGCCATGTTTCCAAGCACTTCACTGAGCACAAGCAGCCCAGTGAAATTACAATTCGATTTTCGATTCCTAGTACAAAGTACAGTTGACCTGTACAATAAAAATATAAAATACAATCAATACTAAACCACTTACCAAGCACATTCTAGAAAAGCAGTTTCAACATCGTTCCATATCAAAGCAGTACAGTCAATACTAGAACCTACAGATCTAGTTAACGCTACAGATGTTAGCAAAGGCCCAGCTCCACCACTCCCACCCAAGCAGGGCAGTGTGCTCTACCTGGCAAACAACTAAACCAGCACAACATCATCTAGAGCTAGGGTATGGTACAAACTGTGGTAGCAGTACGGCTCTTAACCAGAGCAACTTCTTTTATATTGTTTAGGACGCTTTAGTAGAGACAACCTGAGTACAGTCTGTAAAGCAGACAGCAAAATCTTGCTGTATGAAATAATATTCCAAGCATATCAACACTAAGACTAGCCTCCTACAAAACAAAGATTTGGGAGGGAGCAAGTCATTTAAAAAGACATGATTTCACTTGCGACAAAACCAAACCATTAAACTGAGACTAAAAAATACCATAGTTTGAATCTTATATTGTGCTTAACATTTTTTTAATCTGTCTACTTGTGCTGATAAATTTTTAAGTAATTATTGGGCTTTTCAGTAAGAAATATGTATGACAACAGACTGGCAACACTATGAAGGGGACAAGTATGTTAGTAGTTTTTGATTCAATGGAATCTAAATATCTTAGCAGACTTTTATATCCCATACCTGAGGCTAAATCAAACCTTCTGTAACATTATAAATAATTGAAGTACCTGCAATCGTAGACGGATCTTCTTTTCTTCATCCAACTCCGACAGCAACTGTTTAATCTCTTTTCTGTAAAAGAATGGCAAAAAAAAAGCTTAGAATGGAAACGATTAAACTAGTAAAATACAAAAGATCACCTCTTGGAAAAGCATTTCCCTACTTCACTAGTTACCTTTTTTCCCCTCTGAACAACTAAGTAAAGTCAGTATATTCTTTTGTATACTATATGCTATACTACAGAGAAGTAAGACTCCATAAAAGGACAGCACCCTCCACCCGCAATATGGCTCATGAATAATACATTTCCTCCACAGCCCCACATCCACAGGTTTTGCTCTGGACCAGCTGTATCAACACTGGATCAGCACCCAGTTCCCTTTTTTTCCAATACAAAATACAGATGCTGGTGTGTTATAGGAACTGCTAACACAAATCTGGACCGTGGTATCACATACTTAAGCCACTTAAAAGCTGTTCATGACAGCAATACAATCACAGAATCACAGAACGTTACGGATTGG